GATACAGAGGGTAAGAGGAACTGTAGAGACTCCTTGAGTGGGCAGGCAAGGCTGGACTGGTATCCTGTGTGCAAGGGGGGCATGGGCTTTGGAGAAGAGGAGAGCTCGTCCATAAAAGGAGGGAGACAGACGTGGACGGGCTTGCTTAATATGCCACACTGGCTCTTTGTCAGTGATGATGATAATATCAACAATGGCAACAATGAGAATACTGTAGTTAAGAGGCCTTCGTATTAATTAATCAAATGAGTCACACATTCAGCAGGACTTGATTTTCTTGGATGAAGTTTTTGGCTAGGGCACCAGTGAGTGTCTTGTAGGTGCTGTGCAGGTTGCTAGGTAGCTCCAGATAAGGAAGGCTAACGCCTGTACTCCAACTCTCCTTTGAAGCAATGCTCCCTTAGCCTGAATCGGAGTAGTCAGTGGATGGAGTAGAGAGAAAGTCCTCTTGCCTCTGTGATCAATGTAAGATTTATTGCCATTCAAGACTTTTAGTGTTAGTGGCATTTCCATAAGCAAAAATCTCTGTCCCGGCCCTCTTGTCAGTAAGCATATTGAGCAACTGGAACTGTCATTCATTGCTGGTTTGTATGCAAAATTTTTTTTAAAAAAATATTTCTTTATTGATTTCAGAGAGGAAGGAAGAGGGAGAGAGAGAGATAGAAACATCAATGATGAGAGAGAATCATTGATCGGCTGCCTCCTGCACCCCCCTGCTGAGGATCGAGCTCGCAACCCAGGCATGTGCCCTTGGCCGGAATCGAACCTGGGACCCTTCAGTCTTCCGGCCCACGCTCTATCCACTGAGCCAAACTGGCTAGGGCTGTATGCAAAATTGTTTAGCCACTTTGAAAAACAGCTTGAAAAATTCTCATAAACTCAAGCATACACATACATTTTCTATATGACCCATAACCCTATTCCAGTGTATTTATTTAACCAAGATAAAGGAGGACATGTTCATACAAAGACCTACAAGCGAATGTTTCTAGAAGCTTTATTTATAGTAGCCCAAACTAGAAACAACTCAAAGGTCTGGTGAATAGCTAAGCCAACAGGGATATATCCATGCGAAGGAATACTATGCAGCCATAAAAAGGCTGAACTATTGGTACCCACAACAACATGGATGAAATAAAAAGCTCTATGTTAAGTGAAGTAGCCAGATAGCAAAGGTTATAAACTATATTATTCCATTTACATTACAGTCTTTAAAAGGCAAACTATAGAGCAGTGGTTCTCAACCTTGGCTGCACATTAGAATCACCTGGGAATCTTTTGAAAATCCTGATTTCTGGGCCTCATCCTCCGGAAATTCTGTTTCTTTGTTACTAATGTTGTGGCCCCACCCCATAACAAAGAAACAGAATTTCCGGAGGATGAGGCCCAGAAATCAGGATGTTAAAAAGATTCCCAGGTGATTCTAACGTGCAGCCAAGGTTGAGAACCACTGCTTTAAAGCAAAGGAATTTAAAGAAGTCACAACATAGAAAATGGAATCTCTTTTTCATTCAGGCTCATGTTGAATGTGTATCTCTGGGCTCCCACTGATAGTCCAACGGTTCATTTTATTGGGCTGATTTCCAAGGCAACTGTTGTTTTAGCTCTTGTGTCTTAGTGCTGAAACATGGCAGGCCCTCAACAAATATTGTGGAATGACTCTGTTGAATAATTTCCCCTCTGAAAGTATTGGGGCTTCTAGATCCTTGGACTCTGACTGGGTACAGGCGCACTTAGGGCGTAACCGAAGACCTCTTTAAATCCACGGGAGGATGGGAAGGGTTGATGCTACTGCTACTTAGCTACAGTGACTTTGCACCAAACTCTTGGTTTCTCTTCACTCCAGCTGCAACCCCTCACGTGTTCACTGCGTGTTTTATTGCACTGGCGGTTGGAACCGTGCAGAAGGACCTAAACTTCCTCTGAAAATGTTGTTGTTGTTTTTTTTTACTTTCCTTTTGTGGCTTTGGCCACAGGACCTGGGAGTGTCCTAGGGAGAGTGAGTTCGAGCGTCACTACTTTATGATAGAAAACCACTTTGGCTTGTTCTTACCAGCTCAATCCAGTTTAGGCACCAAAGTCTTATGCTCCTAATCAAGCAGGAGCCTGTGAATTCAATTAAAATCTGGAGTGACTTCCTGACAACCACCGGTCGGGATGACTGCATTCCCTTAATGCAATTGGGCAGGACGGCACACGTCCGGAAGCCGCTGCTGCCTCTCATTAGCAGCTCTTTCTCACCGCCCATCGGCCAGGAAACCGGTCCTCAGTCTGTGGCCGTTATTTCTATGTGGACCCTCGACTCTCACTGTGTGTTTTCTCAGCAGACTGTGCCTGGAGCAGGTTGGGTTTGAATGTCATGGTTATTGAGCCAATTTGAAAATGAGTGGGTTTGTGGGAGTCAGAGCGAGAGGAGTAGCTGGTCTGGTGAGAGGAGTGGGAAGGTAACGGACTGCAAGAGGGATGAGTCAGAGCTGCTCTGAGCTTCAGAAACAGCTCAGACTGGCCAGCTGTGGGCACTTGCCTCACCGTGTGAGCCAGTGAGCGAGCTCCGCCCCCACCAGGTGGGACAGGAATGAGCTGGGAAGTCCTGAGTAGGAAATCCCACACTTAAAAACTGTACCTTCGGATCTCGGTTCCCCTCAGGGACAGTCTTTGAGGGCTAGTCATCCCCCCGAGCTCACAGGAGTGACTCGAGGGGGCACTGCCAAGAGGACATGTCAGGGACACACAGAATCTCGCCTTTTTTTTTTTTTTATTTTTTTTATTTTTTTTTAGTGTTAAATGGAAGGTTCTGGTGATATTGCATACTCAAAACTAGGATATCGCTAATGCTTCCTCACTTTTCTCAATTCTGACAGACAGAAAGTTTGCATGTACATTAATGCACACACCCTTACATGTGGTAGGTGGAAAAAGTTTGCAATAAAAAGAAGCTGAAGGAAAGAGGCCTGGCAGTGTGGTTCCATCTGTACCAGTGATGTGTACCTAAGACCAGTGATCTCACTGGGAAGAGGCTCCGAGATGTCAGATGCAGAGAGAGGAAAAGGCCAGTAGCTCCAGGCTGGTGGAGTTTTGTAAAGGAAATCCCCCCTGAAGTTAAAATGTTATTAAAATAATGGGGTGCACTATCTAACTCATTCAGCTAACGTTGCCTGTCCATCATGTATTCCACTTCTTCCAGATACAAACTGTGGGGGCTAAAAAAATCGATACTTTTCCTCCCACCTTCTAAGTTCTATCTGGGCTAATAGTCAAATGAACAGAGACAGATTAACAGGAGAAAATGAAATTTTAATACATGCACATATGCAAGCGAGCTCCAGAGACAGTGAGGCAACATTGGATATTGACATTTTGGATGAGGAGGAAAGGGTGGGGGTGGGGCGGGGGTGAAGGTGGTATTAGATTTCAGAAGCGAGAATGGGTGATTTAGAGCGAACGCCCATGGCAGGCAAATTCTTGCTAGGCAACTCAGAGACAATGGGGCAGAGGGCATCTGGCCAACAGCCCCGCGTAAAGCCCTCCAGTTTACCACACCAACTCAAATCAGGCCGAGGGGACCATCCCTGACGCAGGCCTCTCTGACTTTCTTGGGCAGGAGAGGGGGGAGGTTCAAAGGTTCTTTCTGAGTCTTACTTCTTAACCAACAGCTTAATATCAGTATCCAAAAGGCAGCTTCCCAGTGGCACAGCTTGGGTTCCCTTCCTGACCGTTAGTAACAGTGCGGAACAATCCACACGCTCTCTGCCTTCTGCCGGCGGGAGTGAGGGCTCTGCAGGCCCCCTGCATGCAGGTGTTTCCTTGTTCAGACGCTCAGAAAGGGCTGCAGGCTGCTCGCTGACAGCGCCCTGTCATCTCAGGAACAGCGTTTTCTTTTCCTTTTTACTTTTTTAGCAACACTGCTGTCCTCTTTCTTCTCACGTTCAAAGCTGACTCTGGCCGGGCTGGACTGGCTGGGTTGGCTGGAGCGTGAGCGTCGACCTGTTCACTGAAGGGTCAGGGCACATACCTGGGCTGGGAGTTGGATCCCTGGTAGGGGCGTGTCTCAAAGGCAGCAGGCCGATGTTTCTCTCTCACATTGATGCTTCTCTCTCTCTCCTCCCCTCCCTCCCTCCCTCCCTCTAAAATCAATAAGCATGTACTGGGGTGAGGATTAAAAAAGAAACAAAATCAAACGGCCTCTGTAGGTCTGGAGCTTAATTGGAGAAATATTTTGAATTCCGCTGATCGGTGGCCCTTCACTGATTCCTGGAAGTGGAAAATATTTGCTTTGGTCTGAAGCAGCTCCAGGGTCCGTGCACCACATTCAGCCTCTTGCACCGAGGGGGCCAAGAGCTGCGGGTTCTCACAGGAGCTGGAGAACATTCTTTATTTAAAATGAAATCTGCACACCTTCCAGCAACTGCAGACGCATCCGTGGCTCCCGTGAACAAGGGCCTCTGAAGCGTGACACACCAGGACAAAGCCCTCCCGCCCGGGCAGAGCACAGTGGGCCTGCCTCCCGCAGCGTTCCCTGTGAAACCTCTCATTAAATGTGCCTGGTGGGTCTCCCCTCTCTCTCTCCCCAGCAGGCACAAAGGTTTGCTTGCCATGCACCTACTCTTGCTTGTGAAAAGGCAGGTCACGTGACAAACCGTAACTATTAATGAAGTTACTCATTAAATAAAAGTGATGTATATTTAGATTATTCCAGCTGACCTTTCCTACATTAGCATTAAAATGATCCGCACAAAAAGCCGTAAGAATTCCAGATGGAGCTTTAAACCGAAAGCATGTTTCTCTTGCCCAGCAAAAACATAATCCCGTCCCGAGGAATCTTAGACCTGACATTTCTTTTGATTTAATTAGATGCAAGCAAGGAACAAAAGCCAAATTTCAATACTTGGATGTGTAATTATTTTTTGTCGCAAATTCCCCGCATGCTTTTCTCACATGTGTGTGGCTGGCCAAGTCTTTCAGAGTGTTCTTACCGACGTTATCTTGTTTGACGTTCACAGCCGTCCTGTGAAGAACACAGGTGACAGAAGGGACTGCCGCCATTGGCAGATGAGGACACTGATGCTCCGGGAGGTCTCCTGGCGGAGAACTGGAGGTAAGGCTCGGCCCCAAAAGTACGGATTTAACCTTCACTGCTGTCCACGGGGCCTGGGGGCCGTGTGTCAGTGTAGCTAACACCTGTGTGTGAGCGTCATGGTGTCAGTGTAGGGGGGGAAGGCAGCCAAAAGATTCAAAAAGAAGAAAAAGAAATGGAAAATGGACCAAGAGGTGAGGATAACTGAGAATAACTAGGGAGTTATACTGAAGTGTGCTTCAGTGCAGCAAAATCAGCCCCGTGTGCCATAGGGGAAAAGTATTAAATGAGCAACTATACTAGGTGCCAAATGTCAGGGTTTCTCAAAATATGGTCCGCGAGGATTCTTTGGTTGGCACCCAGAGTAGCCACGAGGCATTGGTATTGGCAGATACTGTAGTCAGCACAGGGGGTAACAGTAAGACACTCACAACTTTGAGATAAAGTTAACCTCTGGTGATACTGCTATCATCACCTGGTTATTATTTGACAGGAAGGGACTGGAGAGGAGACTAGATAATATAGGCACGTCCTTTATATAGCTCTGCCAGGAAGCTGCAGTTAACCCTCTACACGTCTGTGCCCCGCAGATCTCTTGGGGAAGGGACTGGACAATAGACACATGCCCAGTAAGGTCTGGGTGCTCAGCTACCTGTCAGTCACACCTGGGAGCCAGTCAGTGGCCAGAATAGGCGTGGCCACAGCAAGAGCACGATATCTGAGATACTTAATCCCTGAACAAAGGAAGTTTCTCCCTCTCTCCCTCTTGCCCTCTCCCCTTCTCCCTCTCCCCCTTTCTCCTCCTCTCCCCCTCTTCCCCCTCTCCCCTCTCCCCTCTCCCCCTTGCCTCCCTCCCTCTCACCCTCTCTCCCTCTCTCCCTCTCTCCCTCTCTCCCTCTCTCCCTCTCCCCCTCTCCTCCTCTCCCCTCTTCCCCCTCTCCTCTCCCCCTTGCCTCCCTCCCTCCCTCTCCCCCTCCCCCTCCCTCCCTCTCCCCCTCCCCCTCCTTCCCTCTCCCCCTCCCCCTCCCTCCCTCTCCCCCTCTTGCTGCTCGCCCCTGACCTCTGGCTTGCAGGGCTCTAACGCCTTGTTTTGCTCACATGGCCCACAGCCAAGTGGACTCCACACAATGGACTAATGGACTGTGATTAGCCTAATGCTGTTCCGGCCTCAGGTCCACTATGGAAGGAACACCCTGGACACTGGCCCTACTTCTGGCTCTACCAGAGCTCCAGCTGCACCTTTTTCAGGACTGGGTTAAGGGGCAGGGACTTTGCAACCCGAGAAATAGAATTCGGCAATAAACACCACTCATTCCCCTGTGGGCGCCTCCGGAAGTGCTCATTCCAGTGGTACCCCAAGAACCCCACTCCCACTCATGGACCCACTGATTTCTCCAGCAGCACTGGGACTAAAAGAGAATGTAGCAAAAGATAATGCAGAGAGTCAGACTAAAGAAAAGCAGGTAAATTATTGACTAAGGAGGTGGAGATGCCCTGAACCAATCACTGTGTTCTATATACCAGGACATCTGCACTAACTTATCTGAGACTGAGCATAAGAAGTGTTATTAATCTGGAGAAATAGGAATCAACGGTGTTCACTTTATCTAGGGAAGGATGACTGTTAATTGGAAGGGGATGATGGCTGACCGCCACCTTCTCAAGCAGGAACTACTGGCAGAGGGGAGAGGTGGGGGGATGTAAGTGACAGTCACTGAGATCCCCTACTCGAGCCTGGATGCTTTATCAGGTGTCCGGGGGCCTGGGGTCATGCTCTGAGGTCATGCTCCTTATGCTGCCCCTGAGGCACCGGGACCCCTGGAGGGCCTGAGGGAGGAGAAATGGTCTTTGAAAGACCTGTCCCCCTTACCAAGCTATACCCTGGATCCTGGGTTATAGTGCTGGTCTCTGGGCACCAATCCTGGGGTTTCTGGGTCAGCACAGCAGAGCCCTAGTCTTCATTTTTTATTTTTTTAGTCCTCACTGGAGGATATTTTCTCCACTGATTTTTTTTTTTTTTTTTAGAGAGAGGGAAAGACAGAGAGATTCATCGAAATGAGAGAAACACATCAATTGGTTTGCCTCCTGCACACACCCTGACCAGGGCCCAGGCGGGGGAGAAGCCTGCAACCAAGGTACATGCTCTTGACCAGAATCAAACCCGGGACCTTTTGGTCTGCAGGCCGGCGCTCTATCCACTGAGCCAAACGGGCTAGGGCAAGGCCTGGTCTTTAAATGTGATGAGCGTGCCAAGGCCCTTTGCCACTTTTGCTTGCCGGATATGGACAGCCACTGTCCTTGGACCACAGCCTCCTGCTCAGCCTTGGTGACAGTGGACATGGTGCTTGTCTCTCTTATTTAAATGTATACTGCACTTGTAGCAATAGTTTGGTTCTAGGGCAATAGAAGCCCCATTCTGGGATTGGAAAGAATAGGGGTTCTTGTCTTGGTGTTACCACCGGCCACACCTTTGATATTTTGGGCTACTTAACCTGCCTAGGTTTCTTCATCTCATTAGGTGATCTTTGTAATTTGCCCAGGCATTTAGCTAATCAGGGACAAATGACCCTTTGCCCCATTTCCCTTCCCTTCCCTTACTCTGCTTTTCCTTATGTAAATTTGGGAGTAGAGCCAAAGAAAAAGCCACGAAACTGCATGTGGGACAGGAGAGCATGTGATGGCCATCTTGGGGTCATATAGTCAATTACAGTCTACCCTCTGGCCTCAATGACTCCCACCCCTTCCACGTGCAAAATACACTCATTCTCTCCCTGAGACCCCACATCTCAATGCTTATGGCATTTGGATAGGTCGGGAGGGACTGCAAACAGAGGGTATTCCTCATGACTCTCTGTCCTATTCCTCTGAGCAGAGAGGGTTTCCCTCGGATCTTTACCTGTGCAGCTTCAGGAGTTCTGAGTTTCAGGTTGTTCTGAGTCTATGCCAACAGATATGGAAGGAAAACCACCCAAGACACACACCCACCATCTTCTCGACCTTTGTATTGATTTCCCTTCCCAAATGACTTTGCTATTATTTCCTTTCAGAGTCGTTATTAGTTGCATTATGGGTTCTGAACAGTGTTTTCATTTATTTATTTTTAAATATGTTTTATCGATTTTTTTTTTTTTTTAGAGAGGAAGGGAATGGGATAGAGAGATATAGAAACATTGATGAGAGAGAAATATCATAGATCAGCTGCCTCCTGCACGCCCCCTCCTGGGGATCTAACCCGGGCATGTATAGGGAATCAGTGACCCTCCAGGTTCATAGTTCAATGCTGAACCATTGAGCCACATCAGCAGGGCTTAACAGTATTTTTATTTTATTTATTTATTTATTTATTTTTAATCCTCACATGAAGATATTTTTCCATTGATTTTTAGAGAGAGTGGAAGAGAGGGGAAGACAGAGAAATATCAATGTGAGAGAAACATATTGATTGGTTGCCTCCTGCACGGTCCCCAATCAGGGCCCAGGCCGGGGAGGAGCCTGCAACCGAGGTACGCGCCCTTGACCAGAATCGAACCCGGGACCCTTCAGTCCGCAGGCTGATGCTCTGTCCACTGAGCCACACCGGCTAGGGCTGAACAGTGTTTTTAGATGTAACCAGCGGGAGAGAGACCGTGGCATCTGCTCACTCATCTTCACTGGAACCAGATCCAGAAGCCGTTTCTTACTTTGTTTGCCGTCTGCGAATGAGAAACCATGTTATTTTTGAACTCTGCCGGTCCTGTCGCCTTTATCGTTAACTGTTTGCTCTTTAGCTTATCTTCCTACTCTCGTTTTACTGTAGGCAGCTGGGCGAGGCCAGGTGCTCTGCCTGCACTGTGCCTGGCACTGTCCTTAGCGAGGTCACATAGCTCACTGTTCTCTATTTCCCCAGTCACCATGCTGTCAATGTTGCTCACCTTCCCACCACCACCTACAAGCGCCCCCTTCCTTCAGATTCCAGTGATATTTTCCTCCTGTTTGCATAAGCCTTCACAGGCAGACTTCAAGGCCAGTCCCAGAGCCTTTGCACATGTTTCAGGCTTTTATTACAGCAGCACCCGCTCTGGTCCAAAATCTGCATCAGTGAAAGTTCAGTCAGAGAAGCAAAACCATTTCAAGAGAAACAAGGCAATTCTAGTCGGGATTAGAGCGTATTGATTATAGGCGCTGGTTGAGCGGCCTGTGCAACCTGATGTCCCTGTGTCAAGACTTGGGTCTTGGTCAGCAGGATGGGCTGGCTTCATGAGGGGACCATGGGCGTGAAGAGGTGGGAAGAGAGCAAACAGCAGCTGGAGACCCATGTGATGAACTGGAACCCACGTGTCCCACGTCAGTCTCTCCTGCCTCCAGCCCTCCACCTTCGATGGTGAAGGCGACCTGCGGAAGAGCGGGGCACCTCGCCGTGGAGTTTCACACCTGCCAGGACTCAGGAGCTGAAGAAGCCATGGAGCAACTATGGGCCGAGCTGCTGCCCCAGATCAATAAGAGGGGCCGATGCACACACACCAGCCTCTGGCTCCACGTGTGGCTGCCTTCCCGCCTCTGCCCCCCAGATGCTGCTCCCGTTCTCCGGGACACACAGTTCTGGCCTGGCTACATTGACACCGTACAAGGCCACCACAGTGCCAAAGCCCTGGCCAGGCCTTAGGGGTACAGCTGGGGACGCACAGTGGTCTGTCTGTGACGGCAGAGGCTGGCCATTTAAGGATTTGTGTGCGTCAGTGCAAAGGTAGGGAGACTGAGTGCTTGTAAATCTGTGACACTAGATCACTAACAAATAAAAATGAACACACGTCCAGAGTAAATTTTACAAAACAGTATTGAAATGACTGTCGACGCTGCTCCAGGCTGTCCCAAAGCGACGGTTAGGAGATGAACGGGCTTCCTGCCTTAGTCTGCCATGGCGAAGTGCCGCGGTCTGGGTGGCTTAGTACACAGACCTTGATTTCCTCGCAGTTCTGGAGGCTGGAAGTGTTGGCAGGGTTGGGTTCTTCGGTGGCCTCTCTCCTTGGCTTGCGATTGGCCGCTTTCTAGCTGTGTGTTCAAATGGTCGCCTCTCTGTGTGGGCACGTGTTTGGGGTTTCTGTCTGTGGCCCAAGTCCTCTTCTCATAAAGACATTAGTCAGTGGATTGTTGCCCATTCTGAGGACCCCGCTTTAATTTAATTTGCTGTTTAAAGGTTTTCAAACACAATCACATTCTGAGGACCCGGGGTTAGGACTTTAACATATGCATTCAGCCCATAACATTTTCTCTAGTACAATGTTTTCTTCTTGGAAGTTCACGAAGTTCAACTGTATATGATTGATAACCAAAGTCTTAAAAAATATTCAGTATGCATCTCTCACATACCCACCATTTTATACATTATTATTTTTTAAAAATATGTTTTTATTGATCTCAGAGAAGAAGGGAGAGAGAGAGGGAGAGAGAGATAGAAACATCAATGATGAAAGAGAATCACGCCCCGCATTGGGGATCAAGCCCCACAACCCAGGCATGCGCCCTTGACTGGAATTGAACCTGGGACCCTTCAGTCTGCAGGCCAATGCTCTATCCACTGAGCCAAACCAGTAGACATTCTGATAATCCTAAACTGTCATCTTTCAGACACTGGCTGATAATATTGCACTATCCTGTGGAAATCCTCTGCTGGCTGGTGCTGGCAGCCAGGACGGGCAGATGGACGTGCGATGGAGGAGACCAAGCACAACCTGGAATGGGGTGTCTCCCGTCAGAGCCCGTGTCGGTCTCACCACCTCCAGCCCTTGAACTTTGAAGATTCTTGGTGAGTTGCTTTAGATATCTGTGCTGAGACTATTGGGCTAGAAGGTGAGCTAGAGGGGTGGCCAAGGGAACATCCCATATTGCTAGGGGCCTGGAGTCTCCTTGCTCACCTGTAGCTGCTGGCTCTGGTGAGTAGCCTCTCACCTCGCCCAAGCTCTGCTCCCCTTCTCATTCTCTTGTTCTTTGCAGGGGAGGAAAGAGCGGAGCGGTGGATGCCACTGGGGTTTGCTAGGCGGCCGGCAAGGATCCGCCCAGGAAGGTGTGGGCAGGTGGGAGTGGGTCACTGGCCTTGCACAGGCAGCTCGTTCTGCAGTGGCAGCTGAAGAAAGAGCCCCCGCCACACCCTCGCTCCAGGTATCCCCCAGCAGCCACTCATGTACCCCCCTGCTCAGGCCTCCCCTGGCTCAGGGCCTGCTTTCTCGCTTCCTGCTCTTACCTTTCCAACCTGACACTCAGGTCCGCTGTTCTGGCTCAGAGTTTGGCTTTCCTTCTCGACTAAGATTAGGTTCTTTCCTTAGGCTCTGGGCTCGATTCTGAAGAATTCCTGTGGCTCTGGCCTTGCAAGAATTTTCAGAGTCAGACCCTACATTCCCACCCAGTCTTCAGCCGAGAGAAGTCTCACCGCTGCCTCGGCACCTGCGGAAGCAGGTGGTCCTGTCTCTTCTTGTGAAGCTCCCATCACCGATCATGTCCAAGTACCCAGGTAGGGTTTGTCGCTCGAATATCTTTTTTAAAAAAATATATTTTTATTTTATTGATTTTTTTTACAGAGAGAAAGGGAGAGGGATAGAAGTTAGAAACATGGATGAGAGAGAAACATCGATCAGCTGCCTCCTGCACACTCCCTACTGGGGATGTGCCCACAACCAAGGTACCTGCCCTTGACCGGAATTGAACCTGGAACCCTTCAGTCCGCAGGCCAACGCTCTATCCACTGAGCCAAACCGGTTAGGGCTGTCGCTCAAATATCTGAAGTGGCATCTGGTATCAGGACAGCCTAGTGAAGTCTGCCTGATTGTAACGGAGTGCACATCTCTGTAGGAACTGGCCCGGCATGTTAGAACAGTAACAACAGCTCCCCTGAGCAGGGCATAGTGCACGTTGCTTTATTCCATTATCTCCACTCCTCACAACAACCCTGAGATAGCACACATATTCCCAATTTTATGGATGAAAAAACTGGTTTCCAGAGAGCAACTTCACACAGTAGAACGTGTCAGAGCATTGACTTGGGCCCACATATCCCAGCTCCCGGGCCACACAGGCCTAAACAGAGGTACGGGTTTATGTGAAAACCAGCCTTAGCCCAGCCTTGTCCTCGTTCTCTACAGATTTACTGCACTTTCCTCAAGTCCCAATTCGAGTTTGCTCAGTAGCCTCTGTCAGAACGCTCCCCTTGGTACTAGGCACACGCAGTTTCACTAACACAGCTCGTACGGTGACCCTATTCGCTGACCCGCTTTGAGAAATGTACTAAACTAAAACCGGCACATAACTGCGAGAGGAGGGACTGCTGCCGCTCTCTCCTGGGTGGCCTTGATCTGTGACCTTCCCTTTCTCATCTCTGCCTCAGGCAGATCGCCCCCTGCACCTCTCAGAAAGTGTTTGCATTTTAAGCCCACCTCCCTTAAAATCTTAAACATATCTTTTCTTTATTTTAAGAACAAAATAATACATTTGGGAACATGCCAATTTAACTTGGAGTCTTAAAATAAGTGCAAAATTGTGAGGTTGTCACGGTCGTGTTTATTAAGTAGAATTTGGCGTTCTTGTTCCATGGTATTAATAAAGGACGAGCGAAATACTTCGTATTTCCTTAAGATGCAGTTTGAAAAGAGATTTTCTTCTTTGGTCCTTAAGTATCTCTATGACGATGAGGCAAGTTGGTCTTCTACAGAAGAGGACCCAGGCTCCGAGGGGGCAAAGGACTTGGGTGGTGCTGCAGCTGATATGGAGACCGGAGGTCCTTAGAGCTCAGATCTGTGCCCTTTGACTGTATCACATACTAGATTTATTTCCCTTTTATCCAGAGGGGTCCTGTCTTCTCCTGTGGTTCATGTGCTGCAATGAAAGAAAACCTCATTTTCCATGTAGTTCTGTCCCAAGTAGATCCTGGAAAAGGATCTGGGGTGTATCCAAGGCGACCCTTGAGATAAACTTAACCTTGCAAGTGTTGGGACATTTAAGTAGTTGCTAGCCAAGAGACTACTCTACGCAAGCAGGACTGAGGTAGTTTCAAGCGTACGCAAAGTAATATAATTAACTGCCAGAGGAATTACTCTACATAAAAACATATGCAGTTACAAATCACACAGCATTTTATTACTCACAAAGTTCCTGATGCTGCGGGTACAGGCTTAACGGGATCCCGGTGGTGGTGTCCTCTGGGGTTCAACAGTTGGGCTGGTCCAATCTGGATGCAGGGGCTGAGAGCTTGGTCGCGTCTGGATCGAGAGGTACTAGCCGTTCTTCTGTTGTCTGGCAGGGAGCAGAGCATGGAGAGGCACAGTGTGGCGTTGTCTGTCGGACTGGCAGAAGGACGTGCCTTTGTGGCTGTCTCGACAGGCAAGCACTGTCGACTGGTCAGGACCCGTTTTTAAAGCCTGTTCATACCTGCAACAGTTCAGGTGGCTATCAGTGAATTATGTCAATGCACACATGTTAATCTTAACGGGGTGAGGGGCTACATGTGGTTATCAATCAGGGTGTGTACTCACAGGTGCATTTCTGGGGAAAGTATGGGTTTGTGTCACTCACACATATGGCTATCATAGTGATACGGAATTTTTGGACTGAAACCCGGATTCTTTGTCCGCAGGAATCGAAGAATGAATCCACGGACAGAAAGTGGTATAGCAAAGGTGGAGATTTATTGAAGAACAAGTACAGACTCCCATGTGGGGAGAGGGAAGGAGTCCCAAAGAATGGACTACCATGTAGGGAGGGGGGAAAGGGTTCCACTGAGTTCCTTTTCCCTATGGCTTATAAAAGCTGCAGATCCTGGTGCCTTGATACCTCCTCTGATTGGTCACTATTTCCTTAGACTGGTTATTATAGTAACTCCTGGGCTCAAAGGTCGAACCTCACATGCGACATGTGAAGTTCCTCCCCCCCCTTCCTTATTGTTTTTCTATTCCCTTTGGGCTTTCTTCCTCTCTCCTTCTGGATGAATGGCTTCCTTCTCTTTATTTTGTAAATATAGACCTTTTGCTGTTCCCAGCTCCCTCATTCTATGGAAATGTATCTGTTGCAGCTTTCCAGCTCCCCCATTCTATGGACATATACCTTCTGCTGCTCTGCAGCCCTGTGCTTTCATCCATGATCCCCTTAATTTCCAAAATTTCTAAAATTTCCTAAACCTGTCCTATCTCACCCCTAAAATTCCTGTTTCAATAGCAAGTCACTCTGTCAGCAATCGAACTTCAAATCCTTGTCTATGGGATACACACGTTTAGGGTAGTGGAGTATGTGTCCTTAATATCACACTTTAAGTTTCAGGAACGTTAACTCAAACATTTTGAAACCTTTTTAAACCTTTTTATACATTTCTGTATATTACTACAACAAGTTCCCATGTCCTTAGATCACACCAAATAGTTGTGGACAAATGCACACCCCTCTGCTGGCTGTCATGGGACAGAGATGTCCCTGAAATGACCGTGAGGAGAGTCTCTAAGCCTCCTCTGTTCCCTCGAGGCTGGAGATGCAACACACAGTCGCTTCCTCCAGCTTCCTAGTCCCCTGGTGCAACAGGTGAGGGGCATCGTCCATTCGGACTGCAGGTGTCACCAGTCAGGTCAGTGGGGTTCAGAGCAGCCCTGGCCTCGAGAAAGCTCCTCGCTTCCTCACAGCTGCGACAGGAAAGAACAAATCTTAAACCCACTCTCTTGACCCAGGATTGGAGACTGACCTTCTTCTAGGTTCGGGATCCAGTCTGGTAGTATGTGACCTTCTGCTGTTTTTGTCCATGAAGTGAGATCATATGAGAACAAACCAGCCATGCAAAGAGGAAGAGGAAACAGGAAGTGTAAAGCCCCGAGGAGAGCATGAGCAGGGTGAGTTGAGGAACAGAAAGGAGACCGGTGTGACTCACGCAGACATCAGCACACTTCTCTCGCAGAGGGCCACTCAGTCCACAATTGAACTGTTATGGGCCATCGGGTCTTGACTGCAACTACTCAGCTATTGTAGCACAAAAGCCACCCTGGACAGTTCACACACGAATGAGTGTGGCTGTGATCCAGCGAAATTTTATTTAGGACACTGACATTTGAATTGCATATCATTGTCACATGTCACAAAATATTGCTCTTCTTTTGATTCATTTCCCCTGTTTAAAGATAGAAAAACCATTCTTAGCTCAGTACCAACACTGGCAGTTGGCTGGCTTTGGCTTGGGGGCTGACCCCTGGGCTGAAGCACAGGGAGTGAGTGGGGAAGACAGGAGTCCCAGATGCAACCAGAGAGCATTCGGTAGGTGGGGCCAGACCATGTGCAGAGGCGTTGTAGGCCAATGGAGCGAGTGTGGGTTTTATTTCAATCACCAGGGGGGAAGCCTGAAGGGCTCTAGGCAGGAAAGGGACCGATACATCTGAGTAACACTCTGTTGCATCTGAATCCAGGATGGACTGTCAGGAAGCAAAACTAGAAGCAGATGCCAGTGAGGATGCTGCTCCCTTAGACCCGGCGGAGACTATAAATTCTAAAATGAGAATCAGATCCCCACCCTCGCAGGGTAACGCTCGGGGTGATAAGGTGTCCAAGCACCCAGCAGAGTGCCAGGTGCATAGGATATCCTCAGTCAATGTTAGTTCTATATGCTTCCTTCCTTCTCTGGTGGTAAAAAAGCTGGGTAGATGGGTTTAGTCCAGCTATCTCACTGTTCTCCGAAAAAGGGGTCATTCTGCTAAACATTGGTCAGGTAATGTCATTAAAAGCAAGCAGACATACCCTTAAGTTTTGTTAATGACCCTGTAGGATGTATGTGTATATTCATATTTTTGTTGAGCCACATGAAATAACTAATTTTTTTTCTACTGTTTAAGGTTTATCAAGATCACTGGCCTTATTGTTGCTCTGAAAACACATTTAGTTTTCATCTATTTCATTTTCCTCATTACAAGTTTTAATATATAAAAAAGGGTTGAAAAAATTATCCGTAGGTAAAGAGAGAGAAAACAAAATTACATTTGATCATTTTTGTCAGAATTAACAAACAGAACACTAGTCTTTATGTGCCATTCCATTTTCCCCCCAGTCTCTTGATTGCTCCTGGCATTGGATAGGAATAAAAATGCAAGAAACACCAAATCAGGAAGTTTCCTGATATTAGAAAATTATCAACTTGGAAAGGGGATAAATTACATATGGGATCACACAGGACTGTGAGGTTGAGAGGAGGTATGATAAAAATCAAACCAACCCAGAATCCGGGTGTTAAATGAAATATTGTAGTTACAGGGATAAAGATTTTATACCTACTTGACCTTATGCACTTGGGAAGGTAAAGGTGGTTAGTCGGTAGTTATTAACATTATACACACACAGCATCAGAATAACTATGACTGTTGTTCTTGGCCTTTGAAGGCTCTGGGGGAGTCCCCCCTGGTTCTTGTGGTTCTGGTGGCCCCAGCGTCCCGTGGCCTTCAGCACCATCCCTGCAGTCTCTGCTTTTGCTCGCTCTGTCTCTCATAAGGGCACCTGTCTTTGCATTGAGGGCCCAGCAGGACAATCTGGAATGATACCATTTCCAGACCCTTCACTTAATTATGTCAGCCAAGACCAATTTCCAGTAAGGTCACAGTCTCAGGTTCTGGGTGTGAGGATGTAGACCTATCTTTTGGGGGGGACATCATTCAAGCCACTACATCAGTGAGCTCTGTCCTTGTCAAAAGGTTACTTGAGGGAATTGGCAGCATAATTTGCCTCCATGCAACCTGCAAGTTGATACATTGCCCTAAGATGATTTCCTCATTGTTTCCACGCAGGAGTCCTCAAACTGCGGCCCGCGGGCCACATGCAAATACAAATATTGTATTTGTTCCCATTTTGTTTTTTTACTTCAAAATAAAATATGTGCAGTGTGCATAGGAATTTGTTCATAGTTTTTTTTTAAACTATAGTCCGGCCCTCCAACGGTCTGAGGGACAGTGAACTGGCCCCCTGTTTAAAAAGTTTGAGGACCCCTGGTTCCAGTATGCAAATCTCACCTCCTTAACTAGTCCTAGGTTTTGTGTTCAGTACAGGCCTTTTAAAATGGAATTCATTAACCTGATTATTAGCTAGGCTGATGTTTTTCTTATGGTTAGACTGAATGCCTTAGTTTTTTATTGCTGCAGTAGCAAATTATGACAACTTTAGTGGCTGAAATAACACAAATGTATTACTTAAAATTCTGTAGGTAGAAGCCTGACATGAGTCTGACTGGGCCAGAATCAAGGTGTCAGCAGGGCTGTGACCTTCTCTGGGGAGATTCTTTTTCTTTGCCTTTTCTGCTTCCTTGGCTGATGGTCTCTTCCTCCATCTACGCCCCCAGCAACTCTTTCTGACCCTTCCATTTCTCCCATGGCATTCCCCCATCCCTCCCCTTCCCCCCTCCCCTCTCCTCTCCTGAGACAGTAAAGGCTCTTCTCTTTTAAGAACTCATGTGATTAGGTTGGGTCTACCCAGATAATCCAGAATAATCTTTCCCTCTCAAGATCTGTATCCTTAATCTCATCTGCAAAATCCATTTTGCCATAAGGTAATGTACTCACAGGTTCTCAGGTTTAGAAAGTAGACATGTGGGGGACCATTATTCTGCCTGCTGCATCAGAGTGATGGGGTTAGGGGAGGAAGACTACAGAGGTAAAGTGCCATTCTCATCGCATCATATTAGGGGTGCATGCTGTCCACACGGTTTGTCACTGATGGCGGTGACTCTGACCACCTGTCTGAGGCAGTGCTGTCAGGTTTCTCCATTGCAGTTATTTCCCCTCCTGTTTCCACGCAGTACTCTCTGGAAGGGGACGCCGTGCAGGCCACACTTACTGGTGGAGGTGCTAGTTATGTTCCACCTCCTCGAGGGCCTACATAAAATTGTTTAAAATTCTTCTCTATGGGTTATTTGTCTTTCTCTCTATTATCAAAGATTTATATCAGTATGGACTCATAGATATTTATACTTGGAGTTTTCACAGTATTTATTGCTTGTTTATTTTTTTGTTCAAATTGTTTCAGCACATGCCCTAACTGGTTTGGCTCAGTGGATAGAGCGTTGGCCTGTGGACTGAATGGTCCCAGGTTCAATTCCAGTCAAGGGCACATGCCCAGATTGTGGGCTCAATCCCAATAGGGGGTGTGCAGGAGGCAGCTGATCAATGAATCTCTGTGATCATGAATCTCATTATTGATGTTTCTCTCTCTCTCTCCCTTCCTCTCTGCAATCAGTAAAAATATATTAAAAGAAAATTGTTTCAGTACAGGCCGTCCAGTTGGCTCCTGTGTTCCTTTGACAAACCTTCATTTTGTGTTTTGAGGACTTCCTTACTTTCTGGCACCAGGCTCCTTGTGTATTCCCTACCCTAGTCCTAGACTCCATCAGCTATCCAAGGAGCTCTGGTTTCTTTTATTGGAGAGTGGATTTAGAAACCAAGATCTGGGTTTGGGTTCATCCAGTGAAACATTCCTTTCAAATAGTGTACTTTTTATCTTAGAAATTCTATTTGGTTCTTTTCAATATCTTCCATTTATTTCCCCATTAGGTTCATGTTTTTCTTTAAATAGGTGTTCACAATATAATAGCTTTTTAATAACATCTCACTTTGCGATTCCATCATCTGTGGCTTTTATTTGTGTCTTTTCTGATTGATTGCTCTTTTTCTTTTTTTAAATTGAATTTATTGGGGTGACATTGGAATTGATTGATTTTTTTCTTGATTATTGGGTCATATTTTCTTATTTGATATGTTTGGTAATATTTTTTATTGGACTTTAGACACTGTGTATTTTACATTGTTGAATGTCTATTTTTGTGTGTTTGCTTTTTGTTTACTTTGATGAATTTGGGGCCTTTCTTAGGCAAGCAGTTTAACTTGCACATCAGCTTTATCCCTTTAGAGACCTGCCTCTCAGCTTTGCTAAACACATAGGAAGTAGCGTAGCCTTCACTCCAGGGATCGGATCGTTCAGCTCTACAGAGAGTTGGATGATCAGTAAGGCCTCTTCCCTCTGGCTGTTGGGAACTCAACCAGTTCCGAAGTCTGCATGAGCTCTGGGAATATGTTTACCAAGCCCCGGTCCGTCTTTCCCAGCATTTTGGAGTACTGGTTTCCACATGTCTGATCCAGTACGCAGCTGACACCATACAACATTCAGGAAATCCTTTTCTGTACAACTTCATCTTTTTGAGAACTTAGCCTCACAACTTGCAGCTGCTTCAGCCTCCCCAGTCTCTGAGCTTTGTTTCCTCACTCCCTTTCCTCCCCCCACCCCATTACTGCAAAAGCAGAATGAAAATTGCTTCCACCAAGAAGTATAGGGAGTCATAGGCTCATGCCATTTCTCCCTTTTCTCAAGGATCATGATCCATGCTGTCTACTGCTCAGTGCCTGGGAACAGTTCTTTCCTATGTTTTGTCCAGTTTTCTAGGTGTTTACTGCAGGAGGTCAAGGCCAGGCCTCATTACACTTTCATGGCCAAACTGTCCCTTTAGTTCTGAACTGTGGGTGATAGTCTTGATATGGGCCTTCACATCATATCTTTATTCACATGTGCTAGACATTGGGGTGCTTTTTAAACTTGGAAAATCATGTTCCTTAAATTTTTCTGAGGAATTTTCTTATGTCTTTACTAATTTCCTGTCTACTGTTATCTCAGTTCTCATTTCCTAGAATTTCTACTAGATATTGGATCTTTTGGATTGAGGATCCATTTTTCTTATTTTTTTTTTTTTTGCATTTTCCATTAAAAGAAGTACACTTTATGTGAGATTTACTTGTTACCTTCCAATTAGTCTATAAAATTAAAATATCTGTCATTTTTTAACTTCTAGGAACCTTGTTCTCTATTGTTGCTTCTTATAATTGTTTTTCTCTTATAAATGCAGTCAATATTTTTTTTCACATCTTTAATGATATTAATTAAAGTTTTTTTGAAGTTTTCTGCATCACCTTTGTTTCCTCTGAGTTCTTTTTCATTTTTAAATATATTTAAAAATTGATTTTTAGAGAGAGAGGAGGGGAGAGAGATAGAGAAGTAGAAACATCAATGAGAGAGAAACACCCTTAATTAGCTGCCTCCTGCACGCCCCCCACTGAGGATTGAGCTGGCAACCAGGGCATGTGACCTGGCCGGGAATCGTACTGTGACCTCCTGGTTCATAAATCGACACTCAACCACTGAGCCAGGCCAGCCACCCCTGAGTACTTTATTGTTTGTTTTCACCGTGG